ACATATTAACATCCGCCATTCGAGGCACGTATCCCGCAGTATTACCCTCGTCAGCTCTTAATCCGATATATCTCTCTAGAGATTTTTCTGGTACAATTAGAAGCCGGAAATGACCGCTAAATCCTTCGTCTTAAAATCGACGAGCCCCGTTATTGGATCTCCTTACCCTTCTAAATAAATTACAAATTTGAAAAAAAAAAAATAAATCGGTCTAAAGATTTTCAATTCACGAAACAACCCTTTCGCGTTTAAGTCGCGTCAAAGATTTTTCAAGCGTCTGAAGCAAACAACCGGTGGATTGCATATTTCAGGATTCCCTCTCCATTTCCGGCGACGGGTTCAATCCCATATTTCCCAGAATAACTCTATTCGAGCGGTGCCCGCACCATAAGCCCTGCGGGTGGCCACCCTCTTCTTTCCACGTCCGTTACCAGTTTAACACGTCCAGTCCCAGACGCACACTTTACAAAATTAGCTTTGTCAGCCCTTTAACCAAGTATGTACAGACGTGATGGTGGCTGCAGATGGCGAGGATACAAGTGGAACCCCGTTTTCAACCCCCTTCAACCGGCCAACGAGAATCGAGGTCGAGTAAACGTGTTTCCTCGCCGTTCGACCCGAAATCCTCCCCCCCATTTCTTTTTAGTAAATTTTCCTCTTCGAGTTCTTTCAGCCGAAAATTCATTATTTCTTCGTTGTTAATGACTCTTTAGAAATTACCCGGCTGACCCGAAATTGATTCGTATTTGAATAACCGTACGTTTGTCAAGACTTAACAAACTACTTGTTGAGTACAATAAATTAACAAACTACTTGTTGAGTGCAATGCACCGGTACAGAGAATTACCATAAAGGATTAAGCGCCTATTATTCGCAAGTATGTAATCGAATTCGTAATTAAAGCGTTAACCGAATTATCGAGTGGAATAACAAAAACACGAATATCAGGTGAATTTCGACGAATCGTTAAGTGTTTCCAATTAAAATATCGGCAAGCAACGGATTGGGAATGAAATTTAAAAAAAAAGAAAAATTTCAGTGACGCAAAAGGCGTGCGTTATCGCGGAGGTCTCTTTTGGACCACGAATCCGCTGAGAAAGAACCTTTTCAGGATACCATTTCAAAATAAAGACAAAGAAAAAATAATGAAGTGTAAGCAGAAAGAACGAGAGAGAAGCTATGAAAAGTCTGGAAAAGAGGAGACTCTCTTTCTTCTTTTTTTCTTTTTCTCTCGGCGCAAGGCTAATTTACTGGGCGTATTAACTTACCCAAAAATGTGTACACGCACCTGACGGGAACGTGAGCGTGATTCTTCCGGCTGAAAGTAATTTCTCTTGATAATAACCACGTTGGACTGACGACTGGTGGCTCGCGTGAATTACGGCTCGGTGGCCGGCTCGAGCGGAATAAACGCTTACCGTACACTTTTTCCTGGGTGATCCGCGCCGCGGAAAGAGGCGAAATTTTCTTTCGCTTCTCGCTGCTGTGTCGACAACCAACGTGACACCGTTGGATCCTGGAAAATACCGTTAACACCTTTAATATTCCCTGTCCAATTATTATGACTCGCATGGGGGACGTTTGAAAATTCTACCGAATCGTTTGAAACAAGAATAACGAAACATTTTGACCTCGTGTGCTCGAAAATTATACAGGATGTTTCAAACAAAGTGCAGTTAAAAAATTTTATTTTTTGAAACATCCTATATATATTTCAGAATGATCCGTGAATCCTCTAATTTTGAAAATAATACAATCATCGACAGTTCTGATTTATCGCACGACAGAAATGAAATTTATTTTACGAATACTGATTTGATTGCAGCAAACGGTGTTTACCAATCGAGTGTTTATTTTTTTTTAATTACGAAAATGCAGGACGATCAATTTCTCAAATGAAATTCTCTATTGTAATTGAATGTTTAGATTGATATATGCAATTTCGAAATGAATTGATTTACGATGCTAGAGGGGTTGAGAGGCCTCTATTGAATAATAATTTGTAAATTTAATTAAACAGTGTATGCAGGTGTTCGGAGGGTTAAGCCAATCCTGGGACTGTCCGAGGAAGCTCATAATCGTTTCGATTCGTGAGTCTTCAAAGCAACCCTCCAAGTTTCGGGGTAGAAAGGGGAAGTTGTTCGACGCAGCCTAAGGCAGTCCCACACCGTGGATTCTGGTTAGGTACTTAATGTTGTTCTATTCGCTACTGCGGTGAGTCTTGGGACGTGCTTGAAATCTGTGTAACTTGGAGAATCTTGAGACACAGGTCAATCGGTTGATCGATCGAAATCCAATGGCATTCTCTTGAAAATCTCTGTGTTTTTATATTTAAATATTCTGAGAATCTGATAAAAGGTTGACTGTTTTATTATTTCTCTCCCTCTTCCTGATGAATGTATGATCTTCCGAGGCTACAGCAGTTATTAAGTTTTCGTAAGTGAGGCGAGTTAATTTAATTCTTAAGTCACATTAACCACATCCGTTTTACAGCTGTTCCCTGTCGCCTCCGCCTTCCGTTAGCGAAATCTCCACGGCAAACAAAAGGATCATATCCATTTCCGCAGATCCTAGCTCATGACACCCCCGTAGGGATGTATTCTCTGTTCTCACCAGGCACACACCTTACAAGCACTGCGTAATCCCGTTGTTTGCCAGTCAACCGAAACTCGTCACTTTATTTAATTAGCAACGCCAGAAATGCTTTTACCGTCGGCGAATATGATAAGTCACGTTCGTACGATCCTAGCTAATGAACCACTCGGTCATTATCATTTTAAACGCTTTCATAACGTCGTACTGACCGAATCTTGAGGGAAAAGAACAAAATAAAACCCTCGGCTTCGTTTCGTGTTCGTTGTTTTATTAACAATCGAAACAGGGTTTGCTATCTTCCTCGTTGATTATTCATTCCCGTTATAAATTATGCATGAAAAGAAACAGAAAAACAGGAAAATATTTTCTGCGCTTGTCTCCTCCAAGCTGAGCATGAAATTTTTATTCTTCTGCCTGTTTTTTTACGAGGATGATAAATCCAGCGATTGCTTTCCAGTCACAATTCTAGCATCAATTATTAATTCTTCTCTATTCTTATAATAGAATAATTGGGCACTGCATCCCTTCGTAAATCTTCAAATTTATATTAAGAATATTCTTCGTTTATATTTAAAACAAGTGAAGAGAAAATCAATCTTTTATCTTTTTTTTAATTTTATAATAATGAAATTTTTAGTCTGTCAGTCTTTGGAGGTATTAATTGTCAGCTAATTAATTCATTTTTCTTGAGGTACATTTTCGAATTTTAATCAAAGCTCATTAATGAGAGGATGGTTAATCTTCGAAAATTTTGACCTTGCCAAGGAACAAAGCCAAAAAGGTTCTCGTTCAAATTAGATGGGCGGGGCTGGAGTTCCTGGATACCAACCACCGTCCGCCATCTGCAAACCGACGGTCGAACAATCTTGGAAACTGCAGCTCGTGCAGCAGGGGTTGCAATTGTTCCACGTTCCAACCCCAACAGCGGGATTCTGTGGATTCTCCTTTCCCTTTCGAGATCCTCTGTTCTTGATCGATGGATCATTTAATCCTTTACACTTTTAACAATTTCTGAAGTATAATTCAATTTTTCCATTTGCTACTGATATTTATTTTATTATCAATACCAACTGTGTTAACAAATTTTTTTTATTATTCCATTTTTTTTTATATTCGATTTACTCTTTGCATTGTGTGATTTTTTAACTTCACATCTCGAGCGATGAACCCAAATTAAATTGCTCTAATTATTCATTATCGTCGTTCAAACTTCCAATCGTTAAATAGAAGGTGTGATAATTATTGATACCGTAAAAACAGTTTTCGCTCGTGTTAGCAGCCCAATATTCCAATATACATGGAAATGATTATTCTTTCGTACACTGCTTCTGTACAACTGGCGCATAAAATTGATTTGTTATACAGAGACAGAGAAAAAGAAATTTCAAACGGTAAGTACAGAGAATAGAGGGAATACAAATTGACAATGAATAAATGAAAATCATTTGGCAAATTAGTACAGAGAAATTCAGTAGCGGTAAATTCGCAGGGTTGCTAATCAATGATGTATCTCACCGGTTATATCTGTGTAAATGGGGTGCGTGCGTTTCCAGCAGCACAAGTTCGCCCCAGATATTCCAACCCCCGCGGCAAACACAGGGGTAGTAGCTTTAGAACGTTATTCCAACGGAGGTTGGCGGATGCGACGGGACCAAAGTCCTCGAGTATAATTACAAGTTCGCCATTGAATCTGGAATGCGCTAAACAACGCAGAAACAGCCGCATTACGATTCAATGATTAATTCAATCTCGAGCTAATGCATACTGATCCGGCTGCGACTGTACGCGGCTGTATCGTTTTAAGCGACCCACCGATGATAAACGCATCCCCTTGTGATCCTGCTAGGGGAGGATTTAGGAAAATAGATAGCAAGACGTTCCAGGCATAAATTAATCCTTTAACATTCTATGTACGTGGAATATTTTTCCTTTGAATTAAAATAATATTTATTTTTATTTTTAATATTCGCGAGCTGGTACAAGCGTGTTACCTATTTTTAAATCTATTTCAACCCAAACAATACTACTTTTAATTAATAATTACTGCAAAGTTTTTCTTTGAAAATATGTTAATAATAAGATAAATTGAATTTTTACGATGTATCTTTATCGCCTTCCTTCCCATTTAAAAAGTTACAACGGCATCCTGAGTTTACACGTGGACGCGAATAGCCCCGGTTACGGCTCATTAACGCAGGTAATTATTAGACCACTGCGAACTTTTACGATCTCTTTTTTAACGCTGACGGGAAGTTTATAAATCGTTGGAACGTTCCGGCTCCGCTTGTTCGCGATGTTGTTTCAAAAAAAACTAATGGAGCTAACGATCCTGAATACACTCGTCGATTTTAATTGATTAATATTGCGGTCTCGATTGGGTAAATCTGAAAGTGGAAATTAGAAATCTCGATCTTTCTGTACGAACAAATTGATTTGTGATTTTACGAGGTCGTAAAATCACAAACATTGGCTGACAAACCGTAAAATTTTTAAAGGATTTGAAAGGAGTGAAATGTATAAAATGTTGATAAAATAAATTGCAAAAAGAGATAGAAGTTAAAAATTAAAAAGAAATTTTGTTGCTTCGTTTAAATTTTGTTTAATCAGTGAAAAATGATTTGCACCTTGATAGTAATGACTGATGTGTCCTGTGGCTTTCAGATATTCAACAATAATGTACATTCTCTTAGTGTGCTGTCTGATGTTGCTGTCGAGGGTTTCTGGGGTGAAAAACATCACACATGGGGTAGCTAGACACCTCAGATCAGTAACATTCCCCGACGGAAGTGGTATGGGGGTAAAGTACCAAAAAACAAAATAATAAAATTAACATTTTCATCATCTAGATTTACCGAATAATATAAAATTAATTTTGCATTTACAGATATTCTTTGCTATCGGACTGCCCATCAACATCCCCAACAAATCCATCCAGACGTCCTTCTTCTTTGAAGCAAATTATGGCCTACCAGGGCTGGCGAATTCCACCGATTACCTGGACGATTTACCTTTGAGAAAACGCAGCTTGGATCGACGAATAGCATATGAAATTATTATAAACAAATTAGAAAGGTAAGGAAACTGATTAACAGACTGTATAAAAGAATGATGAAAATAATAATATTTTACCAGTTTTGGGTTTTCTGGAGAGAATTGTTTGTTAAAAATGATCTGTGAAGTTGCACACCAACCTTTCACTGATAACGGAGTGATGGGTGACATACTGCGAATTTTGTTCACGTGAGTATCTGCCCTAATAATGAAAGTGTGTCAGAATCAAGAAAATAAATTAAAGTCTTGATGCTGCGAAATAAACTTACTTGGAAAAACAAAATTGGGGATAAAAAGGGTTATCGTTGCATTTATTTTGTCGTAGACCATCCTCTTCGCAAGATGAACACCTTCCAAGCAGCATCGTCGAGGCTGAGTACGCGGAAGACTGCAATGACCAGTACAAAAAATGTCCTCAAAGTCCATTAGCTCTGATAAGCCACCACGATCTCAGTATCATTAGTTAAGCATGCCATAATATTAATGCAATCTTCATTAATCTCTTGAAAAAACTATATTTACAAGAGCAATAATGTTATAATCTTTATTCCATCAAAAACACGTGCCATTATTTCTTCTCTCGAGGAGCTTCGTTATTATTATTAATTGCTGAAAGAAAAATGATCCATAATTTATAAACTTTAATGTAAGTAATTAAAATTTGTTTTTTTTTTATAACTCGTGTTAAAATTTATTAACCCTATCTGTCTTGAATGATCCAATTTCAGGAATGAATGATTATGAGGTGTTGATCCAGGATAGGATAAAGATTTCCCTGGAAAGTATGAAAATAAATAAACGCATTACTTTTCACGTAAATCATCTTTTTTATAAGCGAGAGGCTTAAGTAATTCTTATCCCACAAAGAAATGAAATGAAGATACTTACGTACTACGTAACGAGCATCTAATTACCCTTCATATTTTTCAGAAGATTGAAACTTCTCATACAGTCACTGCAAATGATTTTTGAATAAACATCGAAACTGTACATCGCATTTACATGAAATAAATAAAGAGCATTAAGTCACGTATCCTATTAAGCATTGATGATGGATACAACATTAAAATGATTCTGCATGACAATTAACACCAAAGGTTTACTGATGCTTTCGCCTCGGTATAAATAAATCATAAATCCAGAATTTAATAATAAATACGCATGATTCAGGAACTAAAGTGTTCCGGATTTATGAATATTTGAACAAGTGTTTACAAGTATCATTCACGTCATACAATCGTTAATTAGAATAATAAAAAGTTGGCATGAAAATTCATTTCAAAGGAATTAAAACTGAAACTGCATCCAATTTTGTTTCACACCGATGGATACGATTTTTTTTTCAATTATCCTATGTATCGTTGTTCGAACCAATTGAAAATAAATACAATTTAAAATAATCCAATTGGTACGAATTAAGTGAAACTTAACAACCGTACAATGTTTCCAACGCTTGTTGCAATTCCACTTTGTAAAATTCGCAATTTTGTGTACGTAGTGTGCATTTAAATCATTTCCGGTCGAACAATTCGTAGGGGTATAGTGTAAAATCGATAACGTTCGAAAAAACTTGAGATAAATGAAATTCTGATCAATGGTAACAATTCGGTTGCTGTATTTACAATTGCTTTCAATAATAACGATGCAATATGTGGTTTGATCGTACATGATAACCATATGGATACAAGTACGACGTTTGTGAAAGAAAATCTCGTCTAAATCTTGCAGATGCAACTCGTTAAATGATTGGAATTAATTAAATGCATGCTGTTCCGTTCTTCTGCAATTTAACCAAAATTTTCGTCGAGCATAATCATGACAATTATTCAAACTTTGCCAATTAATTAAAAACACCATGAAAACTGCGAGTTCTTTTTCGAGTTCAAACTGGAGTTTCCTTTTCGAGATACGATTCGACTTCCGGGGTGCTCCGCTTAAATTGAGGCGGCGAAACTTTAAATAAATAAATTATTTCGAGTCAAAATGCAATACAGTTAATTTTCAAATTTTTATTAAAACTCTAATTTAACTGGAACACTCGACTTCCGGGGTGCTCCATTTAAATTAAAGCGGCAAAACTGAATAATTGAACCATTCTGTTTCGATCAATTGGCAGTGTTGACTTGAATCAAATAATTATTTAATTCTCGATCTCCTTCACTATAAAAGGCAGCGATGTTCTGTCTTCATCCCTCCAGCGACGAAGGAACCGAGAAACATTTTCGTACACCACAAACGTGATCACCGTCGCCGGGACCACCCTGGCCAGGTTCGCGCTCAAACCTTTGTAAAATCCACGCCACCCCTCAAACCTGCAATTAACCACCAGCAATACCATTTTATTTTATTTCGTTTCTATACCGCGATTGATATAAAAATACTTGAAAATTACTAATTAATTGGTCACGATGTTAATTTTCATTCGCACCAAAATATTGAACCGGCGTACGATTCTTGTCGTTTCCTTTTATTTATTAAAATTATTCGTTGAAACAAAAAAAAAAATAATAATCGTACGTCATTAAATATTAAAATGAAAAGAAATTATTAGTAAAGATACAAAATAATTTGGATGAGTTTAACATTGTTAATTGAACGATACATGAAATAAATAAATAAAGGACTTTCTGAAAATCCAGACAGTTCCAATACCACAGTTTGTCTCTCATTCAAATTCCTTTCTTTTTTTTTTAACACGTCCAAAAATCGTACTGCTGGTGGTTTAACAAAATGACCCGCCCAATCGTAATTACATCCACGCAAAATACGCCCACGCAAACACAATATCGTTCACTTCCATACCGTGGTGCGTTATAATCCTCTGTGGCCCCGCTACAGCGCTTCAATTTATCCATAAAAATATTGAAAAAGGAAGGAAGAAAGGACTGCCACGTTAGCTGCGCTTCAACATGACCGCTCGATTCGAAGAAAAATACTTGAACAACTAATTGGAGAAATCCGATCCAGATTATAAATATTCTTCTTCGAGCGGTTTCTACAATCATTAGGCACAACCATACAAAATTTTCCAATTACCATTACAGATTCCAAGAGGGAAATGTCGAAATACGAAAGCAAAGAATCTCTGTTAATAAGCAAAGGATTTTCTATTATATAACAGCTAATAATTTCATGGTAAAATAATTAAGTGTTATTGCCAGTTTATATTAAATCGGTTATAAGTATCCAGTTAAGACTATAATTTGCATAAATAATTATGTATTTGTTGAAAATCGCAATGACATTGAGAATTTAATTGCTACACTTTAGCTGCTTCGAGTACCAGACTCTACAAAACTTTTAAACATTTCTCTTTTTTTTCCAGTATGAGGTACTTAGATTCCATTGCAATAGAAGAAATGTAATGGTGACATAAATAACGATAAAATTGTAAATAATTATTACACCCCTATGCACATTTTACCACTAACATTTTCAACTGAGATTAGAATCAACACTGCGATTAGTAGATCACAGGGAAGATCCATAGTTGCACTATACTGTATTTTCCTTTTAATGTGAAGTACAAATTTCAAGTTAGAATTGCTCTTAATCAAAATATAGATAATATTAATTTATAATAACTAAGATTATTAAATATGATTTCACCTTAAAAATTAATACATGTATTTGAGTGCCAGCCCGAATAAACACATTGTTTGTACGAAGAGCAGTTTAATTTTCTTTAATAAAAGAACAAATAAAAGTATTCTGCGTACAACTGTCAAATAAATAAAAATCTTTGCTTAAATTATTACCATTTTTAAGTAAGTATTATAATTGATATCGGTTGTCATTTTAAAATTCATATTAATTACCGAAGTATTAAGGGATTCATTTCTTTCTAATAGAAAACTAGTGCATTTTGTTCTCAAGAATAACCGTAAATAAAATATCGAAGTATTTATCGTTCAAACCCTTGCATCAAGTACTGTTACTAAGAACAACAAAACTATTTTCAATAATATCATTTGCTTGAATGAGTAGCTTTTTCCTAAGAGATATATTGTCTAAATTTGAGTAGCTGTCATTAACAACCACAAAATAACATTATCTCCCCCATAAATTACACTACTATAATACACTTATATCGTTAAAGAGATATTCAATGTCAACTAACAACATTATTTTCCCGATTGACTTTTACTAATTTGAAGTAAACAGGGACACGGCAGAAGCGTACGCCAAAATGCTACTAAAACACGTATTGCTTTTACTGTCTGTACGAAATTACAACGTCAAAGAAAGTAACAGATTTTTTCCCCTAGTAATACTTTTTAAATGTACCTTCATCTAACAAAAAAAAAAAGAAAAAAATTACAAACTTGTACAGACTGTGTTAAATAAGATTATATAGAAACCTGATTGCTCCTAAAAAATTATAACAAACTATGTAAGGGCTGGGAAAATTGAATATCAAAATATAATTGTGTCTCAGTAAATTATACATTTAAAATGAGACTAATACGTTCTTTTATCTCCGAAGTTTTTAAAAATTTTAGATTAATATAATCTAAGACAGCCGATCAGAAAATCCTTCATAAATTAGGAAAATTAAACAAATATTTGGTGTGACGTGCGCAAGGTATGGTGATAAGCCTTTATAAAAACCCCTTGTTCCTTCTGACCTCCATATCTTTTGAACACAGTCAACGGTGCCTTTGTAATCATGGTGATGATCTTGAAGACGTGCTCTGACAACTTGATATGGATAAGTTAGACCTGCTGCGATCGATTTTGAAACAGCCGCGAACATGATATAATACTGTTGAGCCTGTAAAGAAACAAATAACTTCTGCATGCTGTATAAGAACAATATATAAACAATCCGATAAAATATCCACTGAACTTACCAGTTTTGTGTCAATTGCAACATTCAAATGCCTATTGTAACGGTTTTTCAATTCTTCATACACCATAAACTGAATGGCACCATGTGAAACACCTAACATTCCAGGAAAAAAGCCCTGTAATATTTCGAAACAAAAATAAATGTAGTTAGAAACAAGATCAAGTAAAATCAACGTTTCTATTCCTCCAACAAATTAACTTACCTTGTAGAAGCCCCTGATTCCATCTGTTCTATAAATCTTTCTAATTGCATCTATTGTACCGTTGTACCTTTTCGATTCCGGAAGATTCACATCCTCATTGTATTGCAAACACAAACGTGTCTTTACTACCCAAAGTGGATTTGTTATAATTAAAGTAAGAATTCCAGCTTCTGCTGCAGCACACATGTGCATCGCGGGTCCTAAAGCTTTCTCCACGTCTCCCCCTTGGATCTTTGATTTAATGGTATTGTAGCTAAAGAGAAATAAATTCTATTAGTAGTTTGATCATTGATCAGCAAAAAGTAGAATAATTTATAATGCTTACAAAAGGAAGTAGCAGCCCCATGCACTTCCAGATCCGATAACATTTGGTACTATACCTTTGTAAAGTCCTCTTACTCCTTCAGTCTTCAAAATTTGTTTGAATGCGCTTAGCAAGCTTTTGTACTGTTTAGACTTTTCTGAATGGCCATCGCTCACTAGAAAAAGAAAGAAACAGAAAAGTAGAAAGGTAAATAATTTGCATATAAATTCTGAGTAAGAAAATTCATTGTGTCCAAGACTTTTATCCGTTGTTTCTTCTTCAATGATAACGAGTAGGAGCCGGGTGATAAACGAATCTAATGATTTTTTCTCTGATCACGTGTCGTGGTTTATCTGAAGTCTCGTTTGCCTCGTGACTAACGCGCTAGTATTTCATTTTTTAAATGATGTTTCATTAGTAGTATTTTGAACTGCCTTTGTAAATAGCGATGGAAAGCGAATAATATTGTTGGTATGCGGAGATACTTTTGTTGCAGCTTATCGTTCCTAATACAAATATTTCCTAATACTTTAATCAGACAAATCGCAACGTTGCAAGATTTTATTAACAAAATTAAAATGATTTTACATTTCTAAAAATTAGTACTTGTAAAATCAAAGGATAGGAGGGGATAAATTTCTTTGATTTTAATGAAATACAATATTGTCGTTACGAAAAGAAAATATAACAATAGATTTCTAAAATAAAATCTTTTTAATAGCAGAAAGACGTCAGAAGCAATAAATTTCTTAACTTTCTCGGGCAGCATAATTTTAATCACGAGAAAACGCGCTAAACTTCGCTCTCACGTGTTTCTGACGCAATCCGCTGAATTTCTTGCTGTTTGGTGTGTAGCCAATGAATTTTACGACGAAAATACATTGGTATACGAGCATCCTTCGTTACATTTTCATCGGCCTTTCGATGATAACGAAATCGAAAGCTAAGATGAAGAAACTCAAACTTGAGTATCAAAGCTTTTTGATAGGGAATTGAATAACTATTCCACACCAGATAAATCAATTTCTTCTTATTTGATGATACAACGTTTCATATATCAATTTAGACATTCAATGGCATTATTGTTAACTGGACCATACTTTCTCTGCACTATCTGTGCCAAAGTCAAATAAATCAACTGGTAACATGTTACTGCAAATACAATTTAAAATAAGTTGAAACATTTTTATTCGCTACTCGGGGAAATTAAAATAAATAACAAAAATTTGAATTATAAAATAAGAGGAAATATTTGAAACAGATAATGCGAAATAGAGAATAAGAAATCCAACAGTAAATTTCGCGAAAGACAAACAGGGAACACGCTTTTTATCCCACTGAAACCACAGCAATTTCTACTTTCCATTCCTCACGGTAATCGAAAGTGGACCATTACTTTCCATTTCATTTTGTGTCCCAATCACGAGACTCTAATGATCTTTTGTACACGTATCAAGGTCGTCCCCGGATGTTTGCGTCCACAGATATTTTGGAAGCGGTTTTAATTATGTTAATTAAAAATTCAGGCGGTAGCGACGATAATAGCATATCTAGGAAAATAAATTTTATTATTGAATAATTTCATTCGAAAACTTCCATTATCAATTCTGAGAACGTCGAGACATAACAGGAACCAATTAAAAATTTTTCCAATTTGGAGTTAATTATGTCTGAAACATATTTCTTTTTCTAAACTGAGAGATAAGATTACTATTCTTTTTGCTTTGATAGCATTTTTCTTTTTGCTTGAATTTAAAAAAATTTTTCTAGACATAAATAAACTCAAAGATCAACAGAAGTTGTAATAATTAATATTGCTTCATCGTATTTAATTTAATTCTATCTTGTAATTAACATTGTAGATGATAACAGATAAGCCGGTTGATGCAATCTTTGAAGAAATGTACATGTAATAAATTTAAATTTAAATGTACGATTAAAGCTGTAATAATATTATGTACATCAATTGTCATCCGAAAGAACAGCTAATAAAGCCAAGATTGGAAAATATCACTTCCTTGCACGTGTATTACGTTTGTATTTTTAAAAGACCATGACACGAGAGCGCTAAACCAATCGATAATCGCGTACTCTGAGAGCAGTCGAAAATACATACTTCTCGATTCTTCTCGATGCCACGTGCTTTTGCTCGGCTGACCTTGTTATCGAATATCGGGTAAGATCAACGACCCGAAATGTTACCGAATTCCGCTCACATTTTACGTATAATTGTCGTTTACGAACTTTTACAAAATCTCTATCATTTCTAATTCTAATATTCAAGGTATACCAATAGCGGAACCATTTATAGTTCAGGTATATTCAAACAATGACTAATGAAAATACCACATGACTATTTCCTCATCACGTTTACATGACGAAACGTTCGAATTAATATTCTAGAAATTGTCATTGCAAATGGCGTATATATGTCCTCAATGGTTTATTTCTTCTTATCGATTAGATACGCCATTTGTCGCAATGTTTTGCCGACTGGTCGATTCAACTTTACAGTTACCGTGAACGTTCTAGTTTGATGTGCGGTCGACCATCGTTAACCGAATGATCCAGGGTCAAAGAAATGAGTCATAAAATAGACCCAAAGATTTCTTAGTATCTTTGCATAATGTGCAATTCTCGTAGACCACGTGTATCGTCGAGTAAATCGAACACACACCCGCCATTTGTATGCAGGAAACGTAATGTTGTCAGCCATGACATGAATTAGTTTACCTGCGAATCTGGTCTTGAGTAAATCCAGCGGATGCAGCGTCAACGTTGCCACTACACCGCCAGATATGCCGGCAATGAAATGCTCATATTTGAGGTAGCTCAGCACGGGTAAAACGTGAACGATCTCCGGAGAAGCAGGAGTAGACTGCACCGTCGACATGTTTACCGTATCAGGATTGTTGTTCGTTATCGAATTATTAATGGAAGATCCGGTTGAATCTTTCTTGGTACTAGCAATATTTGTTTCCACCCTTCGGCATATCACCTGGTCAGGGTCAGACAGTGTGGCGAGATTAACGGTAGCGTGAGACACGATTGTATTTGCCAGTGCGATTTATCCTATCAGTTTTCTCCTCTCCCTCACGCTTGCTGCTTGAAACGATTATGCAACGAGACAAAACGTCATACACACCATGCACCAACCACACTATGCACTCAACTGACCGCGGTAGATGCTCCGCACATCGCTCATGTACTTCGAATGTACCGCCCTCTATCGGAATATGCGCACGCACCTACGCGGCAAATACAATTTGAATTTTTATGGTGCGTTATTCTCTGAGAGCTGTTTGAAAATATATCACAAATTTAATTGTTCTAAACTCTTTCAATTACTTCAAAGAAAAGCAGTATGAAGTAAAATGAATTCTTCGATGAAAATAATGTGATCTAACTGTGGTATAAGTTTTTATCAAATAATATATGTAAATAATAAAGCTAATACATAAATATGAATCAACAAGAACTTACGTTGTTCTCGAAGAATTTAATTGTTAAGTGAAATTTGCAGTTATATAAGTATATTATTTCACAATAAGTTGCCTTTTGCCCTATGTTACACGTATATTAACTAATTTTGTAAGGGAGCTGACTGATAAAACTAGTTCGATAACACCAGAAATTGCTTATCTTTCGGATTTCTGATAGGGTTGAATGTGTATTGGTGATCGTTGATGAACGGATAACAAATTTTTTATCCGTTGTCACGATAAAATATCGCAGTTAGCATTCTCGCTTGATCCTACATCAGTCTGTGAATCGATCGATTCACGTCGGTCTGCGGTTTGCTAAGTATAATTCATCATTTTATAAATTGTGAATAATTTCTTTGTTAACATGCGTCGAGTGCATTTCAATCGGACCAAAATCTTCTTCTTAATTAAACACCATTAATAAATCAATATAATTTACACGATTATAAGCTCTCTTATTAGGTTCCCTTAAATAAATAAATTAAGGTAAAAGTAAAAAAGAGCGAATAGTGATCAATTTTTATATGGTGGATGAATTCAACGGTAGTAAGTGGGGAATAATGAATCACGTGTCTCTCATTCAGCAAATGAAATAATAAAGAAAACAAACTAGAAGAGAAAAAGAAATTTCTTCAACAAGGAGACAGCAGTTTTCAAATCTTTAATTGAAATGGTAAGAAAACATTATTTAAACAAAGTTCAGAGGGTGAAATGAAAAATAGAAAGTGGTATGTCTAAGTTCCATAGTAACTTATTTTCCGGGGGATTCTAAAGATGAAAGATTCATAATTCGGTGCAAGTCGGATTTAAAATAGATTTTTTATCAAGCTCATATTCGGAAATTTCTATCAATATTTTATTAGATATAATCCTATTTGAAAACATTATCTGAAACTTGTTGCTAGTTTACGTTACGATTGTGCGAATTTTCTGATCAACAAGACTATTCAATATTAAAAATATAACCAATTGTTTCCCTCAAAACCAGAATATCCGTATGTCTGTTAAAAGCCATAGGATTGCATAAGTTTATTGCACATCTGTTTAATGTATTCAAGACGTTCAAGGAATCCATTTTAATGTTCACTGGCAATGGAATATTAATGACACCTTGATAAAATAAAAAAAAAAGACAGTAAGCTAGTGTACACTTTTACATAAGACCGTTGATACGAAAAACAGTTCAATGCTAATAATAAACGAATAAATGTATCGGTTTTTTTTGGTATAAATATATAGAATTTGTAGACAGACTTTCGTAAAAAATTTCGTAAAACAATTATTACAATTAAATTGTAAAAAATTTCCTTCTTCTTCGATAAATATACCAAACAAGAGCAAACACAAATCGCGATAAAGAATCGCTGCATGCATATATGCATAGATGAAGCTATTAGCACAATCTGCCTAGAGACTTCTCAAGTTCAGTTATATTTTACACGTCACGTCAGGTGTGTCTACTAGCTGCAATAGCTTGACAATTAAAAAACAAGCAATCAAAAAATTGAAGAAATTCGATGTGGAATTGGTTCGACAGAAATTGGACCCACCCAAACGAAACTTACGCTAAATACCTATGCCTTTTGGTGAGTAAAGCGTTCAATACTCGGTAGAAATGAAAGTCAATAATGAATTCATTGTATTCATCACTGATTATTTGCTCATTTATTAGCACAACTTATCTCGATACCTCGCCCATTTCCGGGTTTACGTGTACGAGGTTCGAAGTTGAATAACTTTTTCAAGTCAATCCAGTTTCAAAGCGGCTGCAATCATGTCGTCGTACTCCTTTTTGTGAATAACTTTACTGCCAGTCGCAGGAGCTGCCGATGGTGGCCGACCACCGTAAGCAATATCCTCCAGACGGATCCCTAGGGCTAAGGCTATCCTGTCCCTTACGTAGGAATAGGGGCCTTGGTTCTTATGTTCTTCTTGCAACCACATTATCTAAACAATAGGGCATTTTATATTATAATGTTTGAATAGGGGGAGTGCCAGGTCAATCCTGACCCTAAGCTCTAGGACCCAGAAATCTGCCTAGGTTACCATTAGGCCCTTTCTAAACTCTCCCTAGGCTCTCCCCCTAAGGTTTCCGTTAGGACCCATTTAGGGCTCTCCCAAAATTCATAACAGGTAATGGATCATTTACACCCCAAAATTTACCCTTAACATTTTAACTATCTCGCAGCAATCACTCCAACTAGATAACTCAAAGGTCGATGGGTTCCTATAAAAACTTAAGTATCCCTCGCCCATATGAATGACGTGGTGGTAAACATGTTAACCAACACAAGTCTATTTAGCACTTACATTTTCTCGGAAATGGTTCGAAAAATTGAAACACTACTTAGAATCAATGAAATTTACCGATAAGATCTACACGAGACTATCTAGAAATTCTTTAATGAACGATAAGTTGATTTACTTTAGCGTTCGGGTATTTCGCCATTTCCTGGGCAAGCAGGTGGTACGGAAACGGGCAAAGTTGTTCGATACGAATGATCGCTATTTTGTCCTCCAACTGTTTCCCCTGACGTTCCGCCAGTAAATCATAGAATACCTTTCCACTGCAGAGTAACACCTTTTTTATGTTTCCCGGTTTAACGGAGGGATCAGGGAGGAGGGGCGCGAAGGAAGTTCCGGTTTCCATATCTTGAAAAGATGACAGAGCCATAGGATGTCGTAGTAAAGATTTAGGTGTCATGATAACCTGGATTAATACATCAGAAGTATTAGATTCTTGTCTGATCTAAAATTGACTGTTCGATATGCATCGATCTAGTAATCAATAACAAATGATACCCAATGACGAGCAGAAATTAAAATATACACTAACCAATGGTTTTCTGAAAGGCATCAGAATTTGACGACGAAGTGCATGGAAAAGATTGGCAGGGTTAGTCAAATTGCAAACGATCCAGTTTATTTCGAACAATTGCCTAGTCATGATCTGCTCCACAGTTTCATCGGGAGGTGCTTCTGGTTCCTTTCCAGGCAGATAGACAACATCATCATCGCAGAGTTTAAGGAAACGTTCAACCCTTCCGGACGAATGTTCAGGTCCTTGACCTTCCATTCCATGAGGTAACAAAAGGACCAGTCCTACTTGTCTACCCCATTTCGCTTGTCCAGCGCATAAAAGTGTATCCGGGACAACCTACACGTATCATATCTTTTGCTCTTCTCTTAACACTCATGCTCGATTAAAGCATGTTCTCAAAATAATTCTATGTATCATTCATGATAAAGCTGACAAACAAACAAATCATGCTCATCTTAGATCTGTACACCATGATAGATGACAATCAATAATGTTTCGTTTTAATTAAAAATATATAATAAACAATTCTTCGAACAGAAATTGCACAATTACCTGGCAAGTATTTACAAAGTCACCAAACTGACCTTCCCAAAGTACCAAAGAATTATGATTGTACGCTGAATATCCTAACTCGAATCCTAAAAATAACAATATTTTCATTCATATTCTGATTACCATTCACACGATACTTACCACAAACACCGTACTCTGATAACGATGAGTTGGTCACGGTATAGAGTGCTTGTCCAGGAAATACATCGTGCAAAATATTTTTGTACGTTTTGTCTCTGCTCTGATCATGAATAACGTGTATACGATGCGAGAACGTGCCTCGTTCGACATCCTCCCCGGATAATCTCACATGATGACCTTCTTTTAATAAACTGAGAAACGCCAGGCACTCTCCCATCCCCCAGTCCGCCTTACGGGACTCCATTAACTGTGCCCTTTTGTCCATTACCCTCATCACCTGCAATTAAAAAAAAAAAAAAATCAATTCAACACGTTTGGGCCGAGGTAACAGGTGCAGCTCTGTGTACTGTGCTCTGTCATGGATAGATTAAAAATGATTAATACTTGATTATGAGCCTCGATATCTGTAGGAGGAGTAGATATAGCCTTGCAGATCGTTAGAATGGTTTCCCTATCAATACCGGTCGGTGGTATTTTATTTTGAGGACTCTGATTGGCAAAGAAATCGTTCCATGGTATATCGTGCCAGTCGCTCAATTGCATGGAATCCACCGCTTTTGCCTTTTTGAACTCCGTTTCGCAATAGTGCAGATACTTTTCTGTCTCCTGGAAAAAAATTATGATGTAAGAACGCGTGCTAATCTCATATAGATTATAGACTTTTTCAGCACTTCTTTGACATATGCTTCGGTGATCACTCCTTCCTTTAATAATTTATCAGTGTAAATAGTCAGCACGTTCGGATGTTGTTTGATCTGTTTGTACATCAACGGTTGGGTCAACATTGGTTCATCCAATTCATTGTGACCAAATCTTCTGTATCCAACGACATCCAACACGACATCATTGTGGAACTGCGCCCTGTGATTTATGGACAACGATCGCGTTAATTCGTTCAGAGAACTGATAATAATCTTATCGTCTAATTAAAATTTGATACTAAAGCGAAAAGCAAATTGTTATCGGTAGTCGTTTTAAAATAAAGTGATAAATTGAAACAAAAGGAATAATTTTTGATAATATCTTGCTAATCATTAAATTGACTGATAAAAATGGGATCACCGGAAATTAGATCGAATATTTACTCAGATTAAAAGAAAGTTTCTTTATACCTGTAATCGCAGGCTACTTTGCTACAATATGTCACCAAATCAGGATCATCACCGTGTATGTGAAATATGGGCGCATTTACAACGCGAGCCACGTCTGTGCAATGTGCACTCGATCGAGAGTACCGTGGATCGGTGGTAAATCCGATCTAAAATTCATCGAGACGATTAGCTAGTTGGACAGAGGGAAATTGAAAAATAATTACTTGATTATTAATGACAAGGTGGATGACACCACCGGTGGTGTACTGTGGTAGATTAGTTAAATGCATCGTTTCATAAACGATACCCTGACCCGCGAAGGCAGCGTCACCGTGCACCAAAATGGCTATCGATTTCTTACCGTCTGAAGAGAAGAAATATTCAATTTTAAATTGCATAATTCTATATTATTTATACACGTACGTGTGGCGTCTTTTTTTTCAACTTGTTCTGCACGAACACGACCAACTATCACAGGATCAATGGCCTCCAAATGAGAAGGATTAGCCATCATGGCGACATGAACCTTCTTTTTAGTCCTACGTAAACAATACCTCGGCTCGTCGAAATTCTTCGTTAATTATTACAGTAATTTTGGGAGTAATCAGTTCACCTGTCTAACACTCGTTCCGAATGCGTTCCCAAATGGTACTTCACATCCCCCGAGCCGAAACCTTCCAAAGAGACCGGATTGAACTGAGTCACTAATTGATGCAACGGTTTGTGGCAAACATTGATCAAAGTATTCAATCGTCCACGATGAGCCATTCCAATCACAGCAGTCTCCACCCCTGCAAAATTATTCAGTCAGAATAATCGTTTGAAATCGAAGCGAAATGTTCTACCGTGTTCAGCTGACGTTTCCAAACATTCTATCATCGACGATATGAAAGCTTCGCAACCCTCCAGACCAAACCTCTTCTCAGTGGGATATTTTTTAGCCAAGAAGCTTTCGAATGTAACTGCTCTCATAATATTCATCCAAACACCCTTTCTCTGCTCGACAGGCATATCCCAAGCGCCTGGTACCTCGATTCTATCTCTCAGCCAATCTAACTGAAAACAATGGCACGAAAAAATGTCACAATAATTCGAAATTATCTGCGAAAGCTTTTAATAAGCGTACCATAAAAAGATCGTGGATGTAGGTGTACTCGAGACCCAAATGACCGCAGTAGACATGGTTCAACCTGGTCAATATCTCTCTCAAAGAAAGGCTTCGTTTAGGTCCACCGATGACAGTGAACGGAGCGAGAGGAAACTCTCTGTTCATATCAGCTTCCGTCATGCCCTTCAGATGCTGTCGAACTACAATTGCAGGGGGTAAATTCGCGGTCCCTTGAAGCTTATACGAGTCTGGATTTTGAAGTTTCAACGGATCAGTGTCAGCTATCAGGTGGCCCCTAGCCTTAAGTAAAAATCAAACAAATCACTTCTTCCGACATGTTCAAACAGGTACATTGATCTATCTTTTGTACTACCTGATAAGCTCGAATTACTGCGTTGATATCAAGAGTTCCACTTATAAAACTTTCACCCTGCATCTCACTGTCTGATTTCTGTCTCGTGCTTTGAGATGGGTATCCTGGTGCTGATGATTATATCGATGGATTGAAGTATAATTTATGAAATTTCTCAGATAAATTTACCTGGGAGTGTTGTACCCGTTATATTTGCTGGTGCCAATGAAGGGGGTGATTCGATTCTCGTAGGTGTTTCCTTAGGTGCCATCGTTTTTGGTGGTCTGACTTCTTCGTGAATTAGTCTGAAGAAGGAGTCCCACGAGGAGCTTACACTTTTTGGATCTTTTAACCATGAATGGTACATATGATCCAAGTACTGACTGTTGGTCGTGTTCAGCACCGTGTCGAAATTACTTTTGTTACCATTCCCTTGGTCCTTGTGCTTGAAACGAGCAACGTGTTTTTGAGAATCGAACACCCTGTTAAATACTCTGACACGACCTTTGAATCCATAGCACAGACTGAAAACGACCGAGCGATAGAATCGTGGATTCGTGTACATGTCCCCATTTGTTTCTACCCGCGATCAATGGGTCGCCGAATAGGGAATGTTTTAATTTTCATCGAATTTTTTAGAATTTGTTAGTCGAATTTATCGAGCCACATCTCACCCCGGAGTCATTTGACACTTGACTGTTTGAAAGATTGCGTGCTGTAACCATCTTCGGACCGTAACCAGCTGATCTGAAAGGGAGAAGTTGTGCAACGCTTCACCCTTCGATGAATTTCTGATTTTAATCAGAAGAATGTCTCTGCATTCGAACTTGTAGAATCTTGAACCGTTAAATGCATTAAGGTATTTTTTTAAATTGATATTAATTTAACATTTCCATGAAAAAGAAGGTATTTTCCAGGTGGAACAAAAAAGAAACAATTTAATCGATAAATACAGAGGCAACTTCTGTGACCTGTACAATTTTCGAATATCGTTCAATTTCTTATTTTCTTTTTTATAGAAATGTTTGAGACAGACGTCGGTAATTCGATAATAAAAGATAAGGTACCTTAAGGTACGGTTGGGTACAGAAGAAGATATGATGCAACACGTTACTCAACCCATAGATGATTTAGTTAACCTCCCCTATCTTGAATTACAATTGGACGTGCAATCTTTTGGTATAAGAGTGTTGCAGTTCATTCGAAGGAAATGGTTCAAATCACAGAGGCCGCTCAGAGTTCCGGTTCTCTTAAGAACGGAACACACACTTTCCCACGCGATACTCTTTATCCAAGCAAGTTTACAAAATTCTTAATGAATTCTTAATTAAAACGTTAGAAACTTATTAACGTTTCACGTGACTGGTTATCAATCTTACCACTTCGACTGCCATATCATTTTCACAATTTTAATCGGAAAAATGACATAACAGGTTTAGTGGAAACAAAATTGCTAATTGGAAAAATTATCTATGGGAAGAAAATAATTTTCATTTCTTCTGTTTGCAGGGTACTGTGACATCAGTATACGAAGATCATAGAGTTATAACAATTAGCCCGAGCAACGACCCATCGAACACAGTTTTCCCCAATAATCGTATCGTCTCGAAAAAGGTAATTTCGATAAATCTATTAATTAACAAATATTATTCTAGAACCATTTAACAGTGAATTCGTTTCCAGTACACATTATGGAATTTCATACCAAAAAATCTGTTCGAGCAGTTCAGAAGGATTGCCAATTTCTATTTCCTCGTAACAGCAGTCGTATCAATGATGATAGCATCACCGATTTCACCTTTAACCAGCATATTACCTTTAAGCTTCGTCATACTAGTAACAGCCTGCAAACAGGGATACGAGGATTATCATCGTCACAAATTGGATCAACGAATAAATCGGAAATTCGTCACTGCGATTCGTAATAAATGCACACAGGTAGGTAAATCAGAGTTACCTGTAAAATAAATTAAAATTTCATAATATTCTTTATCGAAGTCTACTCGAGGTTTAAACTTGAAAGTCATTGGATCCTATTTTTGTATATCAAAGTGATAAGCTATCAGTGACAATAGAATGTACGGCGTTTCGTTATTTCCGGTTATTTTCTGGTTTTCATATTTACATTTTCTTTGGCTTGCAGAACGTTCATTGCGAAGAAATAGTAGTGGGTGACCTGGTGAAGGTGTGTCGTGACGATGATGTTCCTTGCGATCTTCTGCTTCTGTTTAGTACAGAAGATTCTGACCGGTGTTATGTCACCACGTCAAATCTTGATGGCGAAACTAATTTGAAGGTAATTAAGTTGTATATCAAGTTTAAAGAATGGAGTTTAATTAGTAAAATTATTGCCTATTTAGACGCTGCTCGTTCCAAAAATTGTATCCAAAATGGGGATCTCGGAAATAGCATCCATGGAGGCGACTGTCACTTGCCAGCATCCTTCCTCCGATCTCTATCGCTTCCATGGTAAACTAGAAGTGAATAGATCCGACGATGAAGTGACCACTACTTATCTAACGATCGAAAATTTGTTACTTCGTGGATCAAGACTGAAAGACACGGATCATATAATCGGCTGTGCGGTTTACACTGGACAGGACACGAAATTGTCTCTGAATTCAAAGATCAGAAGCAATAAATTCTCCACAGCTGAAAAGTAAGAACCTCTTTCAACAAATTTAACGAATAAACAATAATCAACTGCGAATCTCGTTTACAGATCTATTAATAAGCATATTATTATATTCATGGTGTTATTATTGGTTGAAATAATACTGTCTTGCATCATGAAGCATGTAATCGAAGAAACTGCGAATTGGACGTTATACGTCGGGAAAGATGGCACCGTCACTCTCTACTCCCTGGTCACTGATTTTTTAACATTCACAGTGCTTTATAATTACATCGTGCCTATATCGTTATACGTCACCATAGGTAAGAATCATCTTTATAATTGTCATTAGAAATTTCTATCTTCGAATTGAGATCCTCATACTTGATAGATTTGTCATAATTCTAAAGCTATAGTAATTAGGAAATGTAACATTAAAAAATAAAACATTAACATTCGTCATCTCTTCCTGATTCAACATCGTCGTTCACCTTCGACCAGAATTATCCGGGTATCTTTTATTTCTTTCTTTTTTTTTTTCAAATTCAAATTCAATCAATTGTTCTCGTTACAGAATTACAAAAATTCTTCAGTTCGTTTTTCTTCAGCTGGGACATCGACATGTACGACGAAAACAGCGATCAGTCAGCGTTGACCAACACGTCAGACTTGAACGAGGAGCTCGGGCAAATCGAGTACCTGTTCGCGGACAAAACTGGTACCCTAACCGAGAATCTGATGGTGTTCAAACGTTGCTCGGTCAATGGGAATATATACATGGAGAAAGATTGCGACGGTTGTCTCTATCTGTTATCTCCCGATGGGGATGAGACGAAAGCAATGAAGCTAACAGCGTGGGAGGTAAACCGCATTTGTCTCTTTTCTTCAACGAAAAAATATTATAATACGACTATTCCGATTGCAGCAACACATTTGGCACTTTATGATAAGCATCTCTTTGTGTCATTCCGTTCAAATTACACCGCCGAGTCAAAGGAAGAACATAATCGCGAGGCGGACAGAGTACAGGAAAAGTTATAGATTGAGGAAAATTTTGCAATTGAACAGTTCCCTGTTGATGCATCCGGATTTACCAGAGTATCAGGTAGAAATTATTCTCGAATTCTCTTACGAAAATAAAGTCTAACATTAGCCGCAATATTAACGAACGGTTATTTTTAACTCCGATAAATAATCGTCAACAACAGCTGCGATAAATTTTCACGTCGAGTGGCGTTAACGAGAGTCGTAAACGACCTAAATGAGAATATCAACACATTTCTAATTCGCGTATCGCTGCGAATGTAGCTGTTAAAAATTTTTCAAATATGCGTTAGGCAGCATCTGCAGACGAGAAGGCTTTGGTAGAGGCTAGCGCCAGGTGTGGGGTTGTTTTCCAAAAAAGCACCAGCGACAAGATAGAACTGAGGATCAATAGAAATATATTGACCTTTGAGAAGCTCGAAGTCTTAGAATTCACTTCCGGTTGGTATTCGAACAAAGCTTTTTTCTTGATCCTATAAATCCCTTGATGAAAGGTATATCTGATAAGCCAGAAAAGCTATCGTTTCAACGCTTGTAATCTGCTTCCAATCAGTCCACTTCCTCTGATTAATAAACCATGATTAATAAAAATTTCTTGATCGACAGAACGCAAGAGGATGTCGGTAATAGTGAAAGACGCGGCACTTGATTACTGGCTGTATTGCAAAGGGGCGGATTCGGCTATCCTTCCGCTGATAGTCTCGGGAGACGTTAATCAGGCTATCGCTCATGTCGCTGACTTCGCCAGGGTTCGTTCATTGCCTTATTGCAAATGAAAAGTTTCAACCCGATTTAACGAGGATTCGTCTTTCAGAGAGGTCTTCGAACGCTGATAATTGCGTACAAAAAAATGAATCAGGTGGAGTACGAGAATTTGGTTCAGAACGTAGAACAAGCCAGACAGATAATTGGCATTGAAAGAGCAGCGTACATGGAGAGAGCTTATAACATGATGGAAGGTGGTCTCACTTTGTTAGGAGTAACCGGTGTCGAGGATCGTCTTCAAGAAGGTGTGCAGGAAACTCTCGAATGCTTACAAGTTGCTGGTATTAAAGTTAGTAACTTGAATAATTAATAACAATCCCTTGTGAGATTTGTTAAATGAACGTCCACTTAATCTGGGTCGTTGATATCACAACTTTTTGATAAGTGTCTTAGAATCTGAACAGATTTTTTTTAATAAACGACCCAGTTTGCTTAGATAGTCTGTGAAGGGTTAATTGAAATTGGTATTTGGAACTTGTAATTAGATATGGGTGCTGACCGGGGATAAAGCGGAAACCGCGGAAAATATAGCGTTTCTCTGCGGACAATTCAAAGACGGTACCGAGATATTGAGGATGCTCGATGTAACCGAAAATCGGACTTGTATCCGTCGTCTTACGGATTTCGAGTAGGTATAATTTATTACTCCTTGTAAGATTAAGGCGAAAACCTAACTGACAGCTATTTTGAAACATCCTCTTTTATATGATTCCAGTCGAAGAATAAAACTGGAACCGTACAGACAATATGGAATGCTAGTCGATGGCTGTAGCATAGCAATTGCATTGAAAAATTATCCTGAACAATTCAGGGCTGTCGGAATGGCTTGCAATGCGGTAGTCTGTTGCAGATTGACTCCTTTACAGAAAAGCGAAGTAAGATAATAAAATTTTTGATATCGTTAACACGTTCCATGCTTTGAATATTTAATTTATATTTTAATACCGGCACAGAACGTGTTGAAACAATAACTTTATGCAATTACGATTTATCGTCGTACGTGTTAATGGAATACGATCTGATACGTAATTCTGTTCGACCATTTTTATGCAGATTGTAATGTTGATAAAAACAGCAAGGAGCAAGCCGCACACTGCCGCGATCGGCGACGGAGGAAATGACGTATCGATGATACAGGAAGCTCACGTTGGAATCGGGATAATGGGCAAGGAGGGCCGTCAAGCGACCATGTGCTCCGATTTTGCCATAGCTAAATTTAGATTTTTAAAAAAAGCCCTGCTGGTTCATGGCCACTGGTACTATTTACGAATCAGCATCTTGACACAATATTTTTTTTACAAAAACTTTATATTCATAATGCCGCAATTGTTCTACGGTCTACAGAGTGGTTTCTCTGCTCAGGTATTCATTTTATTAACACTTGTGATCGGCACAATGATAATACCGGTATGACACGTAACAATTATTCCAGGCATTTTACGATGGTATGTTTTTAATGATGTTCAACGTATTATTCACATCCCTACCAATATTAGCGTACGGATTGTTAGAACAAGATTACAGTGCCGACAAACTCCTACGTTTCCCGTATTTATATAAATTAAATCGGCGCAATTATTTATTGTCAGGAACACAGTTCCTCATATGGACACTTTTAGGTGAATACCATTTTCCTATTCGTTCATCACTCTTAATTTAAAAACACGTTCTTGATTGAAATTTTGTTTCTTCCAGGTTGTTGGCATACATGTATCATATATTTTATGTCGTATATTTATACATACATCAATCCCATTATTTTGTATAATAATACACCGATGGATCAGTGGTCATATAGTACATGTGTTTTTCATTTAGTCACATTAATAGCCAATTTAGAGGTACGTCGATGTCTCATGTATATCAAGATATATCATACAAGATGTATTATAATCTTCTTTCATTTTTAGGTATTATTACGTAGTTCATATTGGACATTTCCGTTCGTAACAATAGTGCTACTATCACAGCTGTCTTTCTTTGGACTAGCGCTTACTTATTCGCTCATAGACGTGTACGTAACGCTCGTATTTTATAATAAATCAATTCTACTAGTAAAATCTGCTAGTTCTCTAATCTGTTATTGAGATGTGCTGGATTCGATATGCATTTTCTCATATATTTTAGCAAATCTTATCGATTTATCGTGAACACGTCTTTTTATACTGCTTATCTTATCACAACTTTTTTTTTGATTGTTTCAGAAGGTACGATGGGGATATGCTGAGGGTATTTGAAATGTTAGTATCATCCATATCTTTCTGGTTGCTAACCCTCATAGTCGTCGTCGCCTGCGTGATACCAGACTATTTGATTCGTGTGTACAACTGTTATAGACCAACGTTTATAACAAGAAGAAACGAGGAACAACCGCAGTACATCATCATCAATAGCAACGATAATACAGAGAGCGTGCCATTAGAGACCAGAGTAAGAATTATACACCTGTTACACATGCAGATAAGCTATGACTATTACGTATTAGCACGATATTCACCCAGTGTACGTATGGTTCTTCGCAGAATCAAGGACTCTACCACTTTGTTCCATGGAAAAACACCTTTGTACCGCAGAAAGTCAATTGAATTAAGTATCGTTTTACCATGTGTCATAAAGGCCGTAAGTCGTTTATTAATTTATCGTCCATACGATGATCAACGCTTGTAAATATATTTATTATATTAATTTCTATGAAGCTGTATACGAAAACAAAAGCGTTTTGTTCGAAACGCGCCGTTTTATACGACTCGAAATAATTCAAGAATCGTCAGTAACATTTCTGAACATTTTACTCGAAATGAAGCTTTTCATTCATCCGTAGTTGTAAATATTAAAGAAAGTGATGAATTATAAGTTAGCCGAAAACTATAGCATAGAAACAAAAAGAGAAGTACGTGTCTTTGTACTTTGCGACTGAAGTATACGCATTTGTTGTGTTTTTTTTTTGTTTTTTTTTTTTTTTTACTTTTTAAGTGATCGAATTTTGTAATAAAAGATAGAGAAAATCTAAACATGAATTTTGCAATGTAACTACATGCGAACGACCTTTGGTTCAAGTAACTCATTCGATGAGTGTTTGAGACCGATAGTAAGATCATATGCGCATTTGCATTGGTCAAATTTACATGCCTTATCAATTGCAGCGCGATATAAAAGCTGCAATGTATCATAAATTTTTTGTAAATAACACGCCCTCCATTGTATCAGCAACCTGATATCAGAGCCAAGTATACAGGGTGTTCCATGCAATTGGGTCAGGCTGTAATTCTGAAATAGTATAAAATAACAAAAATTGTTATGAAACAAAATTAAAGAGCACCTAATGGAGTATTACGAAATGTATGTGTCGGCTCCGGAAGTGGAAACGTTTCGAAGATTTTAAGGTCAACTTGATTTTTTAAAGTAGAATTATAAATTTTTATAACGTCAATTGGTAGGTCTTGTTATTCCTTACAAAAATGTATCAAGGTATTTGGATCGAAAGTTGATTAATTTAAAAGATATCTTAGGGAGAAACTTAGGCTCTCCGAATTTGAAAAAATTTTTTTTTGAATTTTGTACTTCCCTTGATGTCATTTGCTGCGTATTGTTATTCTCTACAAAAAATTGTTAAGGTACTTGGATCGAATATTGCTTAATTCAAAAGATATCTTAGGGAGAGACCGGGAGAGCCTAATGGTCTCTCCCTAAGATATCTTTTGAACTAAACAATTTTCCACCCAAGTACCTTAATACATTTTTGTAGAGAATAAAAATACGCTTCAATTGACGTCAAGAGAAGTAAAAAATTCTAATAAATTTTCGTTAACGACTGAAAGTTTTTCTGATTACATCAGCAAGGCCTTTGAAATGCTTTCACTTCCAAAATCGTTACATGCCCCATTTATGTCTGGAGTTTGTCTGGAGTGGAACAACCAACTCTCATGCCTTTATTAAAAAAGTGTTGCTTAATTTCAACGTGATTTTCATTCATAATTCCGCATTTTGATCAATTCCACCCTGGCCTCTGGCTAGTTACGCCAATGTTCCACGATAGGAAGATATATACCCTATAAAATATATTCGATAACGTATTCGCACTGCGGCAAAAAAAAATGGTTTAATATCTCTGAAAGTCTTTCAGTGAAAGCAAACAACTGGAACATAATCAACGGTCATGGATGTATATGAGGGATTCGCAGGTATAAGCATCAGTTTGCCAGAGTGTCTGCGATTCGGTAGAGGCACCACTTGCTACGTTTAACAAAAATAGACTTATTTACGCTGACCTAAAAGTTCTCTTTTATACTAGTTTTTCTACTTTCATCATTTAATTAGTGAATATTAAACGTCGCGGCACTGTGATACATTCCATGACCCATATAAACTAATATAACATAGCAACAGTATAAATTAATAAATTGAATTATTCATTGAATTGAATTTTTCTTTGTGTTGTGCTAACGATAAGCGTTGAATTAAATATCCGTACAGTTAATCAACGTTTGTTCAACGTCAAAATATTCTAAAGATGAAAGAGAACAAATGTACGGTAAAAATATATTTTATTTTTATAGGTATTGTGAAAAGCTACCCTTAAGATCCAGCTGAGGCTGACGCTCGATCTTACAGTCGTTAAATCAACGACTGTGAATATTGATTAAAGAGTCTGCCCGTGACATCTGTAAGAACGGAGGTTAAAACATTGTATTTTTGAGGAATTTAATTCGGATTTTGTATGAATATAAATAAATTAGTATCTTGTATCGTGATTATATGTATTACAGCGATACTTAGGTGGAGTAGCAGTATGATAAACTGAGTAAACATGAGGATTATGTCATGTTACTTTCGGCGTCTCATAATAACAGCGTTATTCGTCACGCTCCTGTTCTGTGTCATTCAAGTTCTACGATCAGAATTGGGCTTCGCTGACAATGATCTGTCAAATTTGGATAAATTGTGGGCAACTTCTCCTTTAATAACATGATACATTACAGTATAATGTTTCATGTTTAACTGTGATTAATTTATGTCATTTCAGAATACACATATCTCAATTAATTAAAGAATCTGACCAGCCTTCTGTTAGGTATACCTATAAATGACAAAAATAAAAAATGATGTTTCATTTACAAGTATTTGATGATATTTATGTATCTACAGAGAAGGGGACGTGGCTTGCAAGTTGCCACACTTGGATGTTTCTAATCCAGAAATCACAAAATTCTTACACGATGTTCCTCCATTGTCTTGCACGCCTGAGGATTGGGTTATACTTCGTGGTTCAAGACTTGTAATTAGCAACAGAGCAAAGAAAAAATATGGATCCATATCTTGTTCTTTCAGTGGTAAGTTATACAATAATATATCCATTCATCAAGATTATAATGTGTACTTGTTTATATTGTATTTATAGAAATTCTCAGAGATGATGATTATAATGTATCATTTATGCCTTCTGTTGAATCCGATGACTCCTATGTTCTGAAACATAGTGATTTTGTTAATGTCAAATGTGAATCAAAAAATGGAGATGAGTAAGTTCAAATTAATAAGAATATACAATTAATGAAGTAAATGAAATTTCTTATCTGATTTATCCATTTGTTTTTTTAGATGGCACTCTGTTATGGCTGGAGTAAAGGATGATCCTCAGGTGAAAGAAAAGAACCGATGGGAAAATGTTGGAAGCAAGGCCCTTAAATTAAATGTACTCATGTTTGGTTTTGATTCCCTGTCTAGAAATACATTCATACGTAAATTGCCGAAGACATATCGTTATTTAAAAGAATACTTAAATGCTTTGGTCCTAGAAGGATACAATATAGTAGGTGATGGAACACCACAAGCACTCATTCCTATTCTTACTGGAAAAATTGAACTTGAACTACCAGATACCAGAAAACGAATGGGTCTGAAAGCGAATTATGTTAATGTATATCCAATGATATGGAATCAGTACAAACAACATGGATACATAACTGGATTTATGGAAGATGTACATCATATTGGAACATTTACGTATCGCCTAAAAGGCTTTAAAGAACAACCGACTGACCATTATATGAGAACGTTCTATCTAGCTGCTAGCCCATACTTTAGATATTATAACAAATATTGTGTCGGAGGCATTCCGCGACATATGGTATTTTTCAGTTTTTAACAATAGTAATTATACCGCGCCTATGAAATTATTATATTGTTATGGTTACAGGTGATGCTGAATTATATTAAAGAAATTTTCAATGTTCATAAAAATCAACCAAAATTTTTGTTTGGATTTCACGGTGAACTTTCACATGATTCCTACAACGATATAGGAGTAGTTGACGATGATTTACACAATTGGTTAAAAGACTTACACGAATTTGGTCATTTGAATAACACAGTACTTATATTAATGAGTGACCATGGACACAGGTTTGTGCTTACTCATTATGCAAAATTAATACAAAATTGAGAACAGTGAATTGATACAGTAAATTTTATCTGAAGATTTGCAGAAATTCGCAATACTGTACAGGGTAAACAGGAGGAAAGATTGCCATTCTTTTCATTTGTCTTTCCTCCCTGGTTCAAAAAAGTATACCCGGAAGCATATGCAAACTTTCTACATAACACGCATTATTTAACAACGCCATTTGACGTACATAAAACATTAGAAACCATATTGAATCTTGAAACACCGAAAATCGGAAACCGTCACGAAAGAGCTATTAGTTTATTTGATAAGGTAAATGTAATTTTGTAGCCTTTATTACTAGTCACCCATATCATTCATTTAATAATAATAACCATCGTATTTTATAACAGGTACCATTAGATAGAACGTGTGCAGATGCTTTTATAGAACCACATTGGTGTGCTTGCCTTAGTTGGCAAGAAATCTCAGTTGATGAGAATAATGTAATTGCTGCAGCTAAATATTTTATTGAATTCCTTAATCAATACACAGAAGATCATCGCGATATATGTGAACCGTTAAAATTGAAAGAAATATTATGGGCTGCTAAACTTATACCTAACAAAGGTTTATTAAAATTTCAAAAATCTGGAGACCAAGATGGTTTCATAGGAGATTTTAGTGCAAAAACAAAATTAACAAGTGAAATTTATCAATTGAAAGTAAAAACTAAACCAGGAGATGGATTATTTGAAGTCAGTATTACTTACGATATAAAAAAGAATGCGTTTTCTACCAAGGTAAGATATTTCGAAGTGAGATAATTATCGAGCTGCTAGTGCATTCATAAATTAAACCTTGAATAAAAATGTACAAAATCTAAATTTCAGATTTCAGATGTTAGTAGAATTAACATGTATGGATCTCAAGCAAGATGTGTGGAAAACTCTTTATACCATTTACGAAAATATTGTTACTGTAAGGATTAACAAATTAATTTTTAACGATTAAAAATAATACGCAGATAACATATGACCGTTAGATTTAACGAATTAACTTTCACAACAAAGGGTGCTGTGATTAACACTATGTTTTGTTCTTTATATTTACATTTTATTTTTATTTCTAGTCTTTAAAAATATACCGTAGAATTCTATTCAGTTAACAAATAGGACGAAGGAATATAGTATTTATTTTATAATTTTGTTTTACGTATAATAGTTCTAATCTTGATAAAAGATGCCATTTTTTCATTCTAACTCTAAGTATCTACAGTAATGGCCATACGTTTAATGCGGTAGGAAGATACTACACACGACAATAGACCTAAATCATTTATGTATACTATACTGTACCAAATAATCATTACGGAATGCCAAACTACTATTAGTTATTTGATAGATAAGACGTATATGAAATATTATAGACTAATGCAAACACCTTTAACCATTTAAAATCAAACATCCTCAGTTATTATTATATTTTTTGAAAGTTGGTGAATGTAAAGTATATAACAAATGTATGGTGTAAATAATGCACAATATTATGTAATAAATCCATCATTGTGGTAAAACAATGTTTATATAATAAATATTATTTTATTGGAATATATATATTTTATTATACAGCATTCACTCGGAAATACAATATTCTCCAAATTGATGTAAGAATGTTGTAATTTCGCGAGTAACACTATCTACTAGTAAGAATCCAACATTTTGTGTATGAAATGGATCATACGGAAAATATGCTTGTCCTCTATTATCTTTGGCTATTATTTCCAAAACTAAGGTACTAATTGACAAATCTGAGTCTTTGTCTTTTTGTACCCTAGAATAATTACAAATATTTATTTATTGAATTCCAAAAAAAAGAAAACATTTATGAAAATATTGTACAACCTGATTAAATCTTTATAAATAGATTTTGTAACTTCTAGGTATGGATCTAAAACATCTTCATATTGACACAATACCCCTCCAAGAATAAGCAATTGAAAAATACGAAATATAAATTCTTCTTTCTCATCTTTGAAATATAAATTATATTGTGGACAATCTTCATCCAATAACATCTACAAATATTAAATTAAACATAAATTTATATTATTAATATAATTTGCAATAAGAATTCATACTCCTCTAAGATTATCCGAAATTAGAAAACCATCTATTTCCATATCATATCTTTTGCAAATGGTCCCAGACTTGTGTATAACTCCGTTTTCGAAATCTTTTAGTTTATTGAAAAATGACATATTTAAAACAGAACACGGCACAGGTTTTATTTCTACTGTTGTCGCTATTATACCTGCAAATTATATTTTAAAAAATTGGCGAAATCTAATATTCTGTAAGAAAATGTCCATTACCTTGCTTTACCCAACCATTCCGTTGTTTTGTTAATAATACCTTTGAAACTGTAGCATCTTTAAAGAAAGCCTAAGATAATTAAAAAATAATGAATTAACATTACAATTTTTAATTATATTTAAATTTATTAAAATTAATTTCATTAACTTCGGCTAAATGATATTTGTGATACTGTTGAAAAGGTTCATTGAATGAAAAATTTTGTATAACAAAATTGCCCTTTATTCCCCTGCAAAAGTGAAAGATAACTTTATTGCATAAAATGACAACTATAAAATAGTAATAACATTTAAATTGTAAACATGCGCGATGTATCAAGCATATGAATTACCATTTAGCAAGATGTTGTTGTATAGCTTTATCGTTAATTCCCAAATAATTCTTTTGTACAAGAGGCACAAACGTGTAGTTCGGTTCGATTTCCATTTTTAAACAATTGTATCGTTACCATAGAGATACAAGGCATGGCAAAGATACAATATTGATTTAACTTGACAATTATGCTATGTTCCCGTCGGTATTGAAATTTAAAACCATAATAACATAAAAGTGAGAGGAAATGGCATTAAAGGTAAAGCAAAAATTAGAGAAAAAATAAACTTAAAAAAAAAATCCCGCAGCCAATTCGCTCATATTATTTGCTGCATAATTAATAAATGTACCATAAAAATAATGATACAGTAATTAATTAGTCATCAAATAATAACGATTGCCCAGGTCTCACCACGAGGAGGTTGCTGCGGTTTGGAGACCCGCCCTACCTCACCCATCCGCCCTCCATTTATGCAAATTTTTATTATTTTCATTCAATAACAGCATCCCCTTGGTGCACATTTGCAAAACGTCTTTGTTGTGCAAAAGTAACAACAAAAGGAGCATTGATTCTATTTACTACCTACCTATCTACTTATCTACTTATATTTTTATTTTCCAATCCTACTTTAACACTTTTTTTATTTTAGTTACAGATCTGTAATTAATAATAATATGCAATTGCATATTTGTCCTACCTATTTATAAATACTAAGGATACCTATTTATACGAGCGCTCGTAATATTATTAAAAATTTACTTAAATCTAAAATTTCCTAATTAAACACTGCAGCGTTTGATGATTATATCTTGATGACTTTATGGTCATTAAGATATAATCATAAAAATTTAAGGAGATATAAACGAATACATATATGAAATTATTGATTTGATTATTCTTACCAGAATAGTACCTGAAATAGACTAAAAAGAATTAGACATAATTTTCAATAGTAACAATTCCCTTTCCAATCATTTTCACCTCATCTTACTTAATTAGATACGTTGAATTCCATCCTCTGACTCTAGATTTTATACTAGATTTCCTTCGGTCCTTTGTTTATACTTTCTATAATTCATACTTTCTATAAAAATATTTCTCTGTAACAGAAACTCATTAATTGAATTCACAAAAAGACAAAAAAAATTAAAAGCTGAAAAGAAGATGCATTAGTACACATAAAATTTTATAAAAATCAGTGTGATTGTTAATAACTTGTTTCAAAATGAAAAGAGGAAACAGCAATTGAATATAAATACCAATTGAAAACAAACAGTACCAAAATAAAGAAAAAAAAGGGGTAGAAAAATATATTGTTATTTAGTATTTAGTATTTAAGTTAAAAATACTATTTCATTTTATTGTATTCGATATTCGTTCATTTATTGGTGAATATTATATAATTTTTTAATTGAAATAATTGTTTTTCACTGCAATATATTCACACCCATGATTCTACTCAACTTTATTAGATTATATTATATACCTTTATGGTACAAATTTGTTGGAATTTGTAAAATTAAAAAAAAATCGCGAATGGACTTTAACTTATATAAAAAGAATTTGGAAATTTATAAAGGTGCATTACTTTAATTAGCTTCTCCATAAGCTTAAAAATAAACAACACGATCAAGAATTAAAACTGAACAACTTCAACAACAATCATCCACTACTTTTGTTTAAATAAAGTACAATTAAAAAGTAATGAGTAATTTTAAATGAATAAGTATTCCTTGAAATATTTTGTCTCCAATTATCATAAAATAATATGAAGTTTTATTCGAAATAAAAGTTTTAATAAAGTTCCGCTTAAAACTTTATCATATTTAATAATATTTTGAAAACATTCCGTCCGTTAAATTCATATAAATTTTAACAGTATTTCCAATAACCAATGCTCAAAATTTTCAAAATTAAAAAATGGGAAGAAAAAAGAATGGGGTCGTGGCAGAGGGAGGGAAGGTACAGGGGAACCTGAAAAGAAAAGTTTGACTGCCCATAAGAGCAATCCCTAAGCAAACCCTATAAAACAAACCGAAATCACACGCAACACTAATTTCAAAATTGCAAACATTCTGAACTATGACAAAACATCGGCTGGCAACGAAGGGTTTCACGCCCCCTAGACTTACGCCAGACGCTACATACCACCCACCCCGCCTGGACGTCGTAACGCCAGGACAGAGTGCACCCCTTCGCTAAGAGCGCTACCCGCCCGTCCAACACGTTGCATCCAACGGTGTCAGATTGACGGACGCCCATAGTATAGACAAAAGGACTGCAGTTTAGAATATGGTAACATATTTTCATATGTTCCATATTCTAAAACTGCGCCTGCAAAGGCCTAGTAATGCATGGGTATATCTCCCAGAGATGGTGTTCACGGTCTTAGGCCGCGGAATCCTTGACTAGCAATGGATTCCCACCGAATGTGAGTCATAGTTACTTCCACTAATTTAATAACAATCGCGAATTCATTCGCAACACTAATTTCATTAAATTATATATAATATGTACAAAAGCGTACGCGTGAAGGCTGCTCCATTATACGCAACACTAAGCTGAAAAAAAGAAAAAAAGAGAAAACGCGAACTGTAACGCAACACTACTCAAATCTACCGAATTTTGTAAGACGCAACACTAATCTAAAAAAGGGGTACAGCCAATCCAAGGCTGTACCACGGCAGCTGGTCCATAGCTGCCTTATGGATCATGGCAACTCCACTGGATCGTTTTTGGGCATTTCTAATGCAAACCGCGAATATTCATTACCGCAACACTAATTAGCAGGGAACTCTATAAACTAATGCTAAGCAATCGCGTATTTATAAGTCGCAACACTGGGAAACAATCGCGCTAATGTCAATCGCAACGCTATCTTTAAGAGGCATGCAATTAAAATGCAGAAAAATGGGATTCTCAAACCGTGTATTTTTTACTCGCAACACTAATTTCATTAATTATATAATATGTACAAAAGCGTACGCGTGAAGGCTGCTCCATTATACGCAACACTAAGCTGAAAAAAAGAAAAAAAGCAAAAACGCGAACTGTAACGCAACACTACTCAAATCTACCGAATTTTGTAATACGCAACACTAATCTAAAAAAGGGGTACAGCCAATCCAAGGCTGTATCACGGCAGCTGGTCCATAGTTGCCTTATGGACCATGGCAACTCCACTGGATCGTTTTTGGGCATTTCATCGTATATCGCAACTCTAATGCAAACCGCGAATATTCATTATCGCAATACTAATTAACAGGGAACTCTATAAACTAATGCAAAGCAATCGCGTATTTATAAATCGCAACACTGGGAAACAATCGCGCTAATGTCAATCGCAACGCTATCTTTAAGAGGCATGCAATTAAAATGCAAAAAAGGGGGATTCTCAAACCGTGAATTTTTTATTCGCAACACTAAAGCAATCAACATTAAAAAGCAAAACTCTATCTTAAAGCAATCAATATTACAAAGCAAAACTCAAATAATCTTAAAGCAATGTAAAAAGGAAACGCGATGTTTAAAATTCGCAACACTAATATATGTATAAATGAAAATCGCGATAATCATGCACACGCAACACTAAATTGAACCGTAATAAATATTCATTCGCAACACTAAATTGAACCGTGGTCAATATTCGCAACACTATATTGAAAACGCGATTTGCCCAAAATCATGGGGGTCACGGGCCCCCTCTTGTCCTGAAATTACAAAACTACAACTACAGGCGAGCATAGTGACAAAGTAGTAACGATAATGATTTCCCATCCTTTTTAGCAAAAGGATGCAAAATCATTAGTAGTTCCCCTCTTGAAAGACAGTTTGTCGGGGCGCTTCGGCATATAGCCTTTTCTTTCTTCGGGCGGTCCACCCACCTGAAACTTATATCTAAAGCTCGAGACTTGCAAATTCGCAAAACAAAAAAAAAACAATCAACAAAAAAGAAGAATCGCGAAACTCTAATTGACACGTGGACGAAAAAGGACTTTATATAAGTCGTTGTTCGTGCACACGTGCCGTGCTCGAGCAGAACTTGTGCGTTCGGTGCCATCGCGATCGCGTATGACGACTTATGAAGTCGCCAAAAATTTGAAAAATTGTACAGACAGAATCGAAAGCGAACGGCATACTCCGTTCGTCGATTGTATCGTCAATTCTTCAAATATATTCCAGGTACAGGTTGATCACGCGAAATCGCGCCTACCCGACCAAGAGACTGTGACAACCTGTCCCGGCCCTACCTACTTACAATCTATCACACACACCAGAAGGTATACTACCTACCTACCTAACGCTATATTTAAAAAAGGCAAAATCACATTCTCACAAAAATTCATTCCACGACCCCCATACACTCCACCCGGGCGCAAGAGCCTAAACTAGGGAGAACGTCCCGGGACGCCTCCGTCACCCGAGTTTCATCTCACATCACACTCTACGGTACGTACCATTTTTCACTGAAATCGTCTGGCAAGGCTAGCAATCATTGCGTATAATGATAATTACAAAATTTAATTAACTACTTTGATATAGAATATTTCATAATAATGGTAATAATCATGGTAATAATAATGGCAATATAGTAATAGTAATGGTAATAATACTATTTGGTTTGTATGTTCATCGTACATCTTGTTGAATAAAATATTATTTCAAATTAAAAGTTAAATGAAAAAGTTATTAAACCGACGCAATCCCACAGCCTAAAAACACACACACCATATGTGGAAATTACGTCGTGCACGATATACTAACACAGTGCCAGCCGCTAATAATTTTTATTCTTATGAACTAGGTCATCGTGCCCATTGTCTCTACCCATCCAAGTAGCGCCTGGGCACGTGAATGGGCTTTGACAATAAACACGGAAGGGGTTAAATCTGAAAATCCTGATCTAGAAACATGATTAGTACACAAACATCTAACGGGCTAATATTTCACTATTTTAATAAAAGTGACTCGACTTTGTAAATATAAAGCTTTTATAACAAATACAGAAAAGTATAATAGAGCAACTATGACGCTAACATGGTGCACTGCTAATATCAGCTGGCAACGAGGGGTCTCACGCCCCCTAGACTTACGCCAGACGCTACATACCACC